AAAAAATAGATCATAACTAAATTTATGCTATTTTTAAGCTAAAATTATTACACGAACTCTACAGCTTAAGGGATAACGTCCATACTAACAATATTAAAAAATCTAATCTAATACTAATTTTACCATAATCTATCCTAACCATAATCCTAACACTAATCTAAACTACAAGACAAGTCTGTCATCACAAAGCTCACCAAAACCATGATTTACAAGGCTCTCATTAGTTGTACTAACGGATGATAGTAAATAGCATCAGCACAAGGTACCAAATTAATCAGCTGCAAAATGTCAATGCCAACAGTGAAGGCATTAGTAAATGTGAAAAATTTACCAATAGCAACATTAATTAACGACAACACTATGAGTAACAAGACATCATTAACAAAAGCACCATTAGGCTACAACAAGTAACTACACCTACAACAACATCTTCAATGACGACACCTACAAGTAATAAGATAAACTAGCAAGACAAGTTAGATTAGTAAAAAAAAAAAAAAACCGAATAATACAAATAAAAAAAAAATCCCTTATCTGCTATATATATGTAGATTCGTGTTAAACATATTTATTATACTGATGAAATAAAACTAAAAAGCAGCTATATTTTATAATTACAATTACTGTAACTAATTCGTTTATAGTATTTTAACTATTCGAATTATTTTTGAACCGATTAATTTGTACCCTTTCAAGTAAAAAAAAAATAAAAAGTTTAAACGTTAGAATTCTAAAATGTAGTGCAATAATAATATTTATAAAATAGCTTATCTTAGACCTAATTCGAATATTAAATTGATATAAAAAACTGATAATATTTATAAACTAAATCAAGTATAAGTAAACGAAATTATAGTAGTAAGCCAGTTCTCTTCAACAATCACCTGGACCAAAATTTCCTACCAAACAAAAAACAAAAATTTGTTGGAGAGGAGAAGACAGCGCTATGAGGTGGTTTTTGTAAAGGTCAACCTTTTACTCCGGAGACTCCTTTGCATATTCGGCATGCAAACCAGAAGCGTTAGAAAACAAGATAACTGGCAAGAGTTGGCGTTCTTGCTTCCAAAATTCTGAAAAGAAGATGCTTATAAGAAGTTGGGGCCTTTTTGTTAACAAAGTAACTCATAACGCAAAAGAATAGAATAGAAGAAGAATAACAAATAAGTTTTTCTAATGACACTCCTTGGAAATTTGGAGACTTTTCTTGAAATAACATATATCATAGCTTGGTTCGAAAGGAGCTTTAATGTGAGACATGGGAAAAGGAACCTATTATAGGCACGGCACTTGTCGTTTAGAGGTAGTTCTTATATACTACCTGCCGACAAGCTCAGAGTTTATCACTCACCGAAAAAACTTAGTGCTGTGCAGGCTTGGGTAAACATTTCTTTGGTGTTTCCTCTTGGTTTTTTTACCTTCCTCTCGCTTTTGCTGTTCTCTCCGAAATTTTTAAAAAAAAGTATCAGCAATGTTTACACTTTTCTAATTTGAACGTACTCAGTAGAATGCAACTACGTGTTTGTTTTGTTTATCAATACAGTGCTATGGTATGGGGAAGAGACCGGTACTCCCATTTAGGAGATATCCGAGTTTCATCGATACCCGGAACGAGTTCTCTACAATAAGGCGACATCTTACAATCGAAATATATTAATTAGTTGCAATTATTATATAATTTTTATCCTTATGCCTGGCACGAGCTATAATAGTGTGTCATGGCTATCTTTCTTTTTTCATCTTGGTTCATTTATGTTAGACTATTTTAGAATTTGTTGAAAGTTTTTTTTCCTACCGTGAGGTGTTTTTTTTTTAAAATGTTTATGTCTTTCATAAACATGTATTATTTTTTTTACTTTTATATATAAATAAGGGTTTTAATTTTGTTGTCGGGCTTAGGTGGAAGAAGTCTAAAAGAAGAGAGAGGTGGTCATGACGGGCGGTAAGTACCATTTGGTGAGAGCCGAGTCATATCCAATTGCAGGAGGGGTCCAGAAGAAGGAGAATCCTACTATAGCAAGTCAAACATAGATACTCATTGAGCAATCGGGTTAGTCTTTACTTGTAATTTAGGTATAGTTGTGTAGCCCTTGGGCGTAGCGCATGTCGTTTAGAGATAGTTCTCATATACTATCTGCTGACATATTCAGAGTTTATCACTTACTGATAAGTCTCTCTAAAATTTTAATAGTCTAGATAATTATTACAAAGCCTAATAAAGTAAAAGCATAACTGCCAAATTGTTAAAAAAAAAAAAAAAAAGTAGTAAGCCAGTTCTTTGAATTTGGGTTCCTGTCTTGTCAATAAAGGCTATATTAGAATTTGAAAAAAAGTTTAAAATACTAACTTAATAAAAAATAAATATAAATTTCTCTGTTTTTTGGGTCTCATTTACCTTTTTTAAAAACATGGATTATAATGGGAGATTGGTGGATTCTAAATCTAAAGTCTTTCTATTCCAAATATATATATCATGACTATGAATGGGTATCATGAAATTGCAAAAAAATTTAGCTGTAAAAAGATTATCATAAGCCAATCAAAGCTCAGTAGATCATTCTAAAATGTTCTATAATCGATTTCTATTTTTGGTAAAATTCCGGACCACAGTATCAGCTTACTCGGTTATTAACTTGAGTACCTATATGCGACCTGCTATATGAGATTTTTATTTTCTTAATAACTATCCTACAATTAGACCAGTTACTAATTCACTGGATGGTTCCCAAATCTAATAAGTGGGCCAGATAATTAGTATCTATAACTATATACTAAAAAAATTTGTGTATAACGATAATGTTTAGATTACCCATATAAATAAATTTTTTCAATTGTGTACCTGTAAATCGTAAAAATCTTATTGGCTTATACTTTAATAGAATAAAGTATCATATGATCATTCATTACATATACTTTTGATGTGACGCAAAGATAACACGTTCTTGATAGTTCTGTAGTTACAAGCCAAATTAATGGTTAGCATAAATAACTGACTTTAAAAATATTATACCCTAATATTTTAATAAAAAAAAGTACCTGTAAAGAGTAAATGACAAAGTTACAAATTACAACTAAGTTCTGATTTTTTTTTATATTCCATAATACAGTATTGCTACAATATAGCGAAAGACTAAAACAGTGAGTTAAAGTGTTATACTATAGTTTAAATAAACACATATCGAACAAATTTATTTTATAAGAGTTTTTAAATACAGAACAATATACTAATATAGAAGTCTTTGCAAGTTGTTAAGATAAGTGACATGTTTTGTTTATTTTGAAAAAAGTAATGTATAAATTCTATTTTTAAAAGTTATATATATACACTTACCGGTAGAAGTTTATCAAAAGAAGTCTGGTTATACTATTTAATTTTAACAAACAAAAAATAGAATATCTACTTATTTTCAAAATAAGCTAATTCTGAAATCTACTATTGAGATTTACTTAGATATTACTATTACCACAATTTGTTATGAGTTATAGTAACACTATAATGAAGATTTAATTATTATTAATTGATTCTAAGATTTGTTAATTATCGCGAAAATTTTGTATATATTTGGCTGTCTCTATTCCTATTTATATTTTTACTAATTTCTATATATCATTAACAATTTGTCAAGGGTAGCAATTTAAATTGTCGCTAAAGAGTTTAATATTTATTTACAAAAAAAAAAATCAATTAAATAATAATACAAATATGAAACTGCTTAAAGAATAACACTATTACTCTAATGAAGTTTTGATAGACTATGTAGCTATCGCTATTCTATTTTGTTTCATCTTATCTCTACTAATACAATATCTAAATACGTCTAATCATAGCACTACATTATAAGATTTTTTGAAGTAATAAGCTATGTGTCTAGTATTTTACTTAAGTATTAAAAGAAATCGGATATCGAGCTTTTAAATTTATCATTATTATTTACAAGATTTTAGCCCAAGAAAAATCTGACCGATAATATTAACCTTAGGTTTTCCAAGGAAATAAAAATAATAAACTTGAAAGCCCAATATTTCATTTTTTTTGCATATATTTTGATCCATTGATCAAATTGAGAATGTTCTAAATGATCCTATTTGAGTAATTTAGATGAAATTTATAAAAGTTAAAAGTGATAACTTTAAAATGATATTAAAGGGGACCGATTCACTAACTCTTCCTGATGATCACTTGTACCAAATTTAAATAAAACAAAAATTTAATTTTCTCTTAATTTTATTAACTAAAGCTACCTTTTCTAAATAATTAAACTTGTTTTAAAGGCCAAATTACATATAACTCTCAATTTTTACAACCTTCGGGTTGATTCTTAATTAAATATATAATATTCATCCTAAATAAATACACTGCTCTTTAACTCAAATTAAGCTAAGGAAACCTGCTTTTTTTTAAAGACAGGGCTCTTCAGCTCTTTCCCAGCTTTATTTTGACATAAAACAGACCAAATTTGACTAACTTATAGTAAAAACTTTATATACTTTGCTCTAAAAATTCTTTAAAAAATTTTTTCTTTTTTCTTCTTTTTCTTTTTACCCCCATCTAATTTCGGACCTAAACACGTTTTGGAACAACTAAAATTAGTAGTTTCTTCAATTAATAATTTCTTATAACAATTTTCTTTTTAATTTCTAATTAATTTAACACAAATAAATAATTACAAATCCGTAATTCCTTTAAAATTACACAAAACCATACAAGCTTACTACCAAATTTATCCTAGTCACACAAGCTATACTTTGTACTACAAGCCACACTAGCCACAGCCACACCAGCAACAGCCACGCTAGCCACAGCCACACCTGCCATAGCCACACCAGCACAAAAGTTATATAGACAGTGCAACATTATACGATCCAAATTTTACTATATCGCGAAGCTCTTTCTTCGATATTTTTGCTATATTAACCTACCAAAATGCCTACCTTAACAACAGAAGAGGCCGATTTCCACGATCTTGACTACTTTTACAATAAATATCCAGAACGCTTTGGTATTGGCACCAAAGATACAGACCCAACTACTCTACGTATTTTACCCAAAGATGTTAACCCTCTTACTTGTGAACTTAACAAAC